AATTCTGTAGCCAGAAAACTAAAGGCATCGTTTATTCTGATCCTTGATTTTGTCATTTATCTGAGCACTTGTGCACTGACATCACCCATTTTTCTGCTGGAATGCAATAGATGTTTGTCACCGTCTGTCGCCAAATTGTGTGTATGAGTTTTTTTAAATTTTTTTAAATTTCTTAACCAACCAGTTCCCTTCTACATCGACGACATATCGGATCATGACTGGACAACCAGACCTTGTGTCCCATCTTCTATACTTTTTTTGAAGATAATTTCTTGTAAATATGCCATTGGCATAATCTATGTCTTGTGTGCAAACTTTCTTGAAACCAGACTTACCACAAATGAAATCCTCTGTCTTAATCATTTTTGAATTAGGTGACACTCTTCAATGACTCTGACCATTGTTTGATCCTGGCAGTGAATCCAATATGGTGTGCATATGATCAATAATTTTCATAAGCTTCCTTCTCATTATGAACCACCGCGCGAAGCAAACTATCCGCATTTGGATCAATGCACACAGTTAAAGGCTCGGGGAGCTACAACTTTCAAACATCCCACCATTAGATTGACAAAATAACACTTCAACGTAATCAATTAGTAAATACGATCATGCTGGTACGTAACGATAAATCAATAACAATATAATACATAATACAACCATAATACCACATAAATAATACCATAATAACACAAAAGTATACTTCAAAGACAAAAATACAAAAATACTAGCATAATAAAACTATGATAACACCAATATAACACTACTTACACCAAACATAACACTCTGTTAAAAACACTAATTATATACAACAATAAATAACACATTGATATGTAATACAACCATAATACTACAGTAATAATACCATAATAACACACACACTCTTGAAAGCCTATAATGCATAAATACTACCGTAATACAATCATAATAACACCATAATAAACCCATGATAATACCTAAATAAGACCCAAATGATATCAGAAAAAACAATATCAACCACAATAATACCAGAAAAATAATACCATTGCGACAACTTAAACACAATGATAACACTTACAAATTAACTTAGCAATCAAATAATATAGTAATCACACCAGCTGAGCCCATCAATACTATCATTGGAAGCCATTAATAGCAGCACACAACACAAAGAAAGAACTCTACATGAGGAATACTTCCAGACGCAGCTAATGATCCAAGCTGATCGCCATCATTCTGAGATTCCATCAACATTTCTTGGTCGAATGAGAAATCCATTTAATATGGTGTTAGCACAAGTTGGCACAGAATAAGAACTCTGCCCTACCCGTCGAATACTAACAAACGAGAAAATAAAAAATTCTACATCTATAAGACACCAATAATCTTTGGCGGGATAAAAAATGTCGAAATGTTAGATTTAGCGCGATTTCATAAATCCAAATATACATTTTTTCTGGTTATTGGGCAGAGTTCGGGTCGGATCACGTGTTCTGGTTATTTATCTCCAGTGAGGACCCACCATTACACCATTACACCATTACATCATTACATCATTACATCATTACATCATTACAGGTGTCAATTTTTCATACAAAGTTGGGCAAGTTGGGAATATTTTTGGGCAAGAGTGACATACTGACATTCATTCGCCTAGATCTCCGCGTCCCTATTTCTCCGGCGTCTCCGCCGAAGCCCTTGTCTTCCTCTCCGAACCCATTTCTAAACCCTCGACGGGAGCTTGCCGGCGAAGCGAAGGACCGTGCACTTTCTGTTTGCATAAATCCCGTAGTAAATCCGCTGAATCACGAAAACGGAGGTAAAACGGGATTCAGAAAGCTGTATGATTAATTTTTGTGTTTGAGATCGTTTGGCAGGATGTGGTTTAGATCCTAACTAAATTCTGCGTACAACCTGCTACCAAATCGTCACTGGTTCGTTGTGTGTGGCGTTGTTGATTTTTTCTGGCCTGCATTTTTAGAGATGACACGTGAATGAATCGAACGCAATGGTTGCTTTCGTTTATATGGTTGAAGTTTTTTGACGACGCACATTTTTATTGTTTTCACTTTATATCTTCCAATTCCCGTCAATTCCCTTCACCGCGTTCTGCTCCTTTTGCTCTGATAATTTCTGCCCCTTTTCTATCGCTGATGATGCTAATATATACTGGCGATCACTGCGATCTTTTAAGGACTAAGTACACGATAATTCTGAAAAAAAGAGGAAGAAGATCTAGAATCTGGGCAGTTCATGTTTCAGGGCATCTCCACGCTTTCTTCTCGGAGTTGCTGTATCTCTTCATCGGTGAGGGGCCTGAGGGCGGAAACCTTTGCCATTATCTTGGCCCCTTGATATCGCTCGGATAAGATATGGTCGATCGAGGAGTGTACTGTTGGGCTATGGAATCTTAGGTTCCACCACAAGGTGCCATATGCACCTGCTAATTTTTATTAAAGCACTATTATTCCACTTGCTTCTTTCAGGATTTAATACCACTACATGTTAATCCATAATAAATAATTTCTATTGAAAATACAAATAGATCCATAATATCTTATCACCCAGACATTGAAGATGGCTGAGTTGGCCAACTATTTAACTGAACCTGTTTTTGGAATTCCACCGGAATTAGAAGATTCTTGAGTTGCTCGCCTCACACAGGCATGGCCGTATACCTTTTGCAATAGCTTAAAACTGTGAAAAGGATCTGTTGTGGCGATTAATACAACTTTAAATGACCCATAAAGTATTATATATAAATTGTTTATCCAGTTGTCTACTGTTGTATTTTGCTTTTCAGGAATTTACATGTTGAGATTGGTGGAGTCCGGTCCACTGTTGATTAAGGCAGTAAATTAAATTGTTTCTTAATTTAATTTCTTCCCTTTTCTACAGCTATCTCCCTGTTTGGACCCCGCCAAATCACTTTGGATTTGGGATTCCTGCCTTCAGCAAATTCCACCAGAATTTGCTGAATATGGCCTTCTAAACATGGTTTAATTGAGGCAATTAAAGGAAAGCATGTAATTAACCTTCCAAATTGGCAATCTTCCATGTTGTGGCTTCACGCTGCTTTCAGGCTTACAGGTTGCTTGGAATTAAATGCAACGGCAGAAGAAACAAAGAAAAGTAAGGATTTGCAAAGGCTAGGCACTTTTTCAGAAATCTTCTTCGGCGGTTTTTTTCCCTTCTTCCAGGTTTGCTCACGGGAGAGAGAGAGAGAGAAAAGAGGGGAGAGAGAGAGAGGAGGAGAGGGAAATTCTATTATTGTAATGGTCGAGATGATTGACATGCGTAATCCTCAAGTAATAAAATCCTCTGCAGCTCCGTTGACTTAGGCAAATTGCTGAACCACGTAAATCAAAGAGAGAGGAGGAGAGGGAAATTCTATTATTGTAATCGTCGAGATGATCGACATGCGTAATCCTCAAATAATAAAATCCTCTGCAACTCCGTTGACTTAGGCAAATTGCCGAACCACGTAAATCAGTTTGTGTCGCCTTTTTATGGTGTATTTTTTCGTTCCCGTATTTCGCTTTATCGTCGTTGTTCTTTCCTAACAACTGGTATCAGAGCTTTGGTTCAGATCTAAGGAAGAACGATGGGCAGAGACGAAGTGATGACATCGGGGATCGAGAAATTTAATGACACAGATTTTATTTACTGGAGGATGCAAATAGAAGACTACCTCTATGAGAAGAAACTATATCTTCTGTTATTGGGAAAGAAACCGAAAAAGATGGATGAGACGAATTGAAATCTGTTGTATCGACAAGTTCTGGGGGTTATTCGGTTAACCCTGTCGAGATTGGTTGCTCATAACGTCATCAAGGAGAGAACAACTGTAGATCTCATGGTGGTTTTATCAGATATGTATGAAAAACCATCGACGAATAACAATGTGCATTTGACAAAAAAATTATTCAACTAAAGATGACGGAAGGTGTCTCTGTTGCTCAACACTTGAATGATTTCAATATAATCACAAATAAATTGTCGTCTGTTGAAATTGATTTTGATGATGAGATACACGCACTGATATTGTTGACTTCATTGCCAAATAGCTGGGAATCCACGATAATGTAATTTAGCAGTTCTGCAAGTAAACCCAAACTGAAATATGATAATATTCTTGATTTGATTTTGGTTGATGAAGTGCACATGAAATATTCTAGCGAGACATCGGGTTCGAATTCGACACTGATTGTTGATTCCAGGGAGAGATCATAGGATATAAACTCACACAGAGGAATATCAAAATTAAAGTCTTGTCAGCAGACAACCTGCTGGAATTGTGGCAAGACTGGCAACATAAAAAAGAACTACAGAAATCCTAAGAAGAAGGAGAATAATAGTGCAAATATGATAACTGAAGATATATAAAATGCGCTATTGCTGGCAGTTCACAGTTCTGTTGATGATTGAATACTGGTTTCAGATGCTTCCTTCTATACATCTTCCCACTTGGAGTTAATGTGGAATTATATTGCAGGTAATTTTGGGAATGTATATCTGACTGATGAAAAAGCTCTGGACGTGGTGGGGTGGGAGACGTTGATATTACACTCCCTAACAAAAACAAATACTCTTTGCAAAAGGTCAAATACGTTCCTAAGTTGAAGAAAAACCTCATTTCTGTTGGGCAGCTCAATGAGACTGGTCATTCAGTGTTGTTCTCAGATTGCACCTGAAAGGTTACCAAAGTAGTATTAATACCGACTCAGGGTAAAAAAACTGACACACTATATACAATTACAAGTTTACTCATACGTGGACACATGAAACAGAGGTGCGTTATGGAGAAGCAAAAGAAAATTGGTTTCCTGAAAGGTGACAGAGCGCCAAAGTCAGGAAACCCGAATATTGTACGGACATATGGTGAAGAACTTTAGAGCTATAAAAAAATATTGCAAGATGAGAATTCTAGCAAGTGAGAGTTGACCAAGAAGGAGGAGTGTCAGGAAACCCGAATATTGTACGGACATATGGTGAGGAACTTTAGAGCTATAAAAAAATCTTGCAAGATGAGAATTCTAGCAAGTGAGAGTTGGCCAAGAAGGAGGAGAGGCTTGGGAGTTAATAGAAGTTCTACCAGGGAAGAATACAGTGCAAAACAAGTGAGTGTACCAGGTGAATATTGTGCTTGGTGGCAGTAAGAGGTACAAGACTGAACCTGTTGAAAAGACTTTCAGCTGAGATATGATACTGCTCATGTAGTGGGAGTTGCAAGCAGATTCATGAGTAACCCAGGAAAAAGTTTGGAGGTTCAAAGCTACATTGACGCTGATATGTCAATTAAAGGTGTTTTTCTTGAGAAACTGAATTTGTGTGCAGCTTCAGTTGGCCTTCTGGTATGAAGACCAGAGCTTTGAGTTGTAGAGGTTGAGTAAAGTGGAGGAAGGTGGAGGATATCACGTTTGAGGAAAATGACGATGCAACCATTAGATGGTGCAGTTTGTGTCCCAGGTTCCAAGTGGGAGAATTATTTAGATTGGTGAAGCCCTTTCCACACTTGAGTAAGGCGGTAAATTAAATTGTTTCTTAATTTAATTTATTCCCTTTTCTACAACTATCTCCCTGTTTGGACCACGCCAAATAACTTTGGATATGGGATTCCTGCCTTCAGCAAATTCCACCAGAATTTGCTTAATATGGCCTTCTAAAGATGGTTTAATTGAGGCAATTAAAGGAAAGCATGTAATTAACCTTTCCAATTTGGTAATCTTCCCTATTACGGCTTCACATGGCTTTTAAGCTTACAGGTTGCTTGGAATTAAATGCAACGACAAAAGAAACAAAGAAAAATAAGGATTTGCAAGGGCTAGCCACTTTTTCAGAAATCTTCTTCGGTGGTTTTTTTCCCTTCTTCCAGGTTTGCTCACGCGAGAGAGAGAGAGAAAAGAGGGGAGAGCATACCTGTCGGCACTATTTTTGGTGTGGGGTTTGCCCGTAAGAAGCTGTAGGGCATCGGAAAGTAATAAAATCTTCTGCAGCTCCGTGGACGTAGTCAATTTGCTGAACCACGTAAATATGTGTGTGGCTTTTTCTGGTGTATTTTTCTCGGTCCCGTATTTCGCTTTATTGTCTTTGTTTTTCACAACATTACATACCCAACACACAATTCTTATGTTTTTACACATCTCACTCAGAAACTTTCATATTTACATACACAATACTTTGTTGCTTTAAATCTATGTATATTTCATATTTAAAAGCGGTAATAGTGCTATTTTTAATGTGATATTAAATATTTGAGCGGTATGTGTGTAAATATGACAGTTTAGGTGTTAGATATGCATATAGATTAGATCTGTGTGCTATGTATGTAAATGCCCCTTTTATTTTTTGATTCATGTTTCCAACCAGAAGTAAGTTGCCAATGGATTAGCATGAATAGTGATTATTTGTCTTCATTTTAACACAATGGTCATAATTTCTAGTTTGATATTTCCTTTTATTTTGGGATAATATTAGTAATTTTAATAGAAACTTTGTTATTATTTATGTGTAAATTTGGAATTGGCTTGCTATTCCTAACCGAGTCGCCATTTCAATTATTAGCTTGAAAAATGTTCTAAGCTGATGACTTTGGGCTTTGTGTGGTTCTCTTGAACTGTGATTTGAGCACTCTCAAATTAATAATATTGATATAAATGTAAGACATATAAGCATATTCATTTATTTATGTCCATGTAGATTCATAAAAAATAATGTGTAAATATTTTCTTATTTAATGTTTTGGTATTTTTTTCAAAATGGCTAACCATCTTTTATTTTGATTAATTATTGAATATATATGATAATATTTCATAAAAATTATTATACAGTTGATAATTTCAAGCTAGCCTAAATGTCATATAGCTGCTTTAAAATTGAATCAGTTTGAATTTAGCCAGCTTGACATTTATAGTGAAATGGTTTTAAGGCAAGCTTGAATCATACTTGATTGTACATATTAAGCTTGTGTAGAGTTCTACATTTCTAAACATGACTCATTGGCACCCCTATAGTGGTAGTTAGGAAACTTAACATATTAGTTATGTTTGAATAGTTTTTGTGGGCAACTTTATACATATTTCTACGAGCAAGGACCTATAAGTTTCCTCTAAAATGTTGAATGTAGTAATGCACGAGTTGGAGTTGAATGCAAATTAAAAACTCTAACAACCTCTTAGCATGTCATCAATTTAGAACTTTCTATCAATTTGGTTGAAGACCTAGATTTAAAACTTGTTTCACTTATTTATTTTTTAAATGCCATATTTGGTTATGGGAACTTTGTTCTCTCATTTTCCTAGTTAAATTCAATATTAACATGCAATGGAGAGTCGCTCAACATTGTTTTTTTGGAAGTTGGATATTCATTGGCAACTTGAGTAACCTTTGAAGCTGGGTTTTGCTTAAACTCACAACCCACATGGACGAGTAAGCATCTCTTTTTCATTACTTTATTACGTCTTGTTTTTCCGAACCTACAAATTTATTCTCTAGGTGCTTTATTTAACCATATCATATCACTTCATTATTTCAGAGAGAATATGTTCGATCTTCTTCAACGCTATCGTCGTGATCGTCATGTGCTTCTAAATTTCATTCTATCGGGTAGTTTGATTAAGAAAGTTGTATTGCCGCCTGGCGCTGTGTCCTTGGAGGATGTGGATATAGATCAAGTCAGTGTTGATTATGCTATAAACTGTGTTAGAAAGGGTATTAAAATTTCATTCCTAAAAGCTTGCTAAATTATTTTTTGTGAAATATTTTGACGGCTCTTTGGTGCTTAGGTGAAATACTTGACCTTGCAGAGGCCATTAGAGTTTATCATGACAGCTTCGACTTCCCCTCAACGGTTAGCTTTAACTGAGCTTTTATCTTTTTTTTGGCTGTATAATGTATGTAAATGAATTGCATGAAAGTCACGGCTGCTTAATAAAAAATATTTTATGTTTTTGAAATACTTGGGCTTTGTTTTTTCAACTATTTTCAAATTTAGAAATGACTGGTCTTTTCAAATTGCCATTTTTAGTTTGCTTTTTCTTGTATAACTGCACAGTCGTTGCTCTACAGGAAGATCTATTATGTTGCGGCATCCAATCGGAACCTGTGTGATTTTAGGCTAGCATTTGATTCAATATCAAAATTTGTGGAGACTATTATCCTTGCATTGGTAGGCACAACATTGTCACACGCACTTCTGAATCTTGTTGCACATTTGTATTTTAGGTTTGTTTTGAATTAATTTTTGCATAATTACATAAGGTCATTTTATAGGAATATACATATTTTATATCATTTTAACATAATATTGAATTAAAATTGTATCGGGGCATTCTCAGTTCACAGAGCTGTTTTGAATATTGTTTTAGTTTACTTCGCTTAATTTGTGGACTCTGCAGAAGAGAAACTGATTCTACTAGATGTTAATATGTTAATAAACATACCAGAATACAAACGAGAATCTACATTTCTAGTATATGTGACGCTGGATGTGGTATTGCCTTGACTCCGTGGATCTTGTGATTGATGGGCCCCATTAATCCTTTACTATTTTTTTCCTTATTTTCAGCTACTTTCCTCTTTTTTTTTTCCTTATTTTCAGCTACTTTCCTCTTTTTGTTTTTTTTTTTGTGGTTCTTTCCTATTCTTCTATTTTCCAATTTTATATTTTTCTATGAAGGGACTTTTATATATGCTTTAGCACGGCTGTTTGGTTTTCAGTTTTGGATTTTATGAATTGTGAGGACCTTTCCTCTGTTTTCTGCTCTTTAGAGTGGCGCGCCTTTAGCTTGTCTAGGAACAGAAATTGGATCCTCCTTGCCTTCCACACTTCACCGATTCACTGTTTGCTTTCTGTTTTCAGCCAGGCAGCTGTCACATTCGCCACCATCTGCTGTTCACAGCTGAAAACAGCAGTTGTTCCACTTCTAGCTCGCTGTCCAGCCACTGTCATGCTCCTTTTCATCCGCCATCCATCCTCCCACTCACGTAATCAATTCTAAAACTTCCCTAATGTCTTTTGTTCTGCATCACACCTTCTTGAAGTTCTAGAACTGTGTCAGTATGTCTTTATTTTTTGTGTGAATTTTCTTAGATCATGAGTCCTCCAACACTCTATTCCCTAGCAATTCAGTTTCACATTAGCACATTGATGTTCCATCACTTCTCCAGTTGCCTGAACACCTTCATGGAAAGATGATCCTCTCAGCCAGCAGCGAAACTTTGGTCTGTTTACAAGGCAGGCTGCCTTCATGGAACATGAAGTTTCATGGTTTCTTGCCTTCAGCAATAATTGGTCCCTGCTGTTTCCCTCAACAAAGGGACAGCAATTGGTTTCTGTTTAGCCTAACACCGAGGTATGCTTTCCCCTTTCCTGCTGTAGTCAGCCAGCTCCAAAATTCTCCGTCTTGGCAGCGGGAGATGGAACAATATAAAGAGAAGCACCTTCATGGCTTTTTGTCCTTGTGGGATGGAAAATCCTCAGTTCTCACAGTTTTCAAGCAGAACATGAAAATAAAGTGACTCGGGGCTTACCTGGGGGCTGAACCGATTCAACAGGGGAGGGGGTCGGCTAGCCCTTTTGTTTTGGCTAGCATTGCCACGCATGGGGAGGGGACTTTCGTTGATGCGAGGGCTAGAGGGCTGAACCGGTTCAACCCGTTCCAGCAAGAACCTACAGGTTGGAGGGGCTGAACTGCCACCCCTCCCCCCCTCTCTCTCTCTTTAGGCAGGAATTATTTCCCTCTTTCTTTTCTATTTTCCCGCCTATATATCTATTATAAAAATACATGTTTGAGGTCTTAGGGTTTAGTTTTTGTTAGTTTTTGCTGAGTTTTCTGTGAGGACAGCCTTTGGCTCCCAAGTTTACCCTTTGAGGGCTATATTCAAAGGTGAGAAGGTGCCAGCTATAACTCATCCTAAGGTAATGTTTATCCCCCCTTCCCTCAACCTTGGTCCAGCCGTCAGACCTGCTGTCTTCTCTGTCGAAACTGTTCTGCCGTCAGACTTGCTGCTGTCCTGCCACCGCACAGCCTTCCAGACTCACTCCCTGCTTGTTGCCAAGAACCCCAACCTCCTCTTATTAGCAGCTGCATCTTTCCTCCCGACGTTGCAGTTTAGCTGCCCCATCACCTAAGTCTCTCCTGCTGCTCTGCTGCCACTAATCTCCTATCCCACTGGTCTGTTGTGCCGCTAACGCCTTCAGCCCAGCTAACCCGCTCCTTCCTTCCCTTAATTGCCAATAGCTTTTACTATAATCCTTCCAACCCTCCCAGAATTGACGTCAACTCCTCCGGCCATAGCAGCTAGCCTCTCAACTCCTTGCACATGTTTTCCAATGCTGCCGGAACTCCCTTGTACCCTCCCTTGCCCTCACAACCACCTCCACTTCAACTCCCACCTAATGCTAGCCGCCAGCCATCAGCCACCAACTTCGTCATCGCCTTAGGGTGTCTTTTTATGTTTGTTGCTTATAATTTCATATTTGGAAGAATCCTTGTTGTAACCCTTTTGAATTTCAACAATAATATTTTTATTTTTATTGTGATTTGGGTTAACTTAGTATCATTTGGTATCAGAGCTAGCCAAACATCCTTAGGTTTTCTAACATTTGCCCCAACCCAAGCCACCTCCACTAAAAAAAAAAATCCTACTGCCAAATGCCCTTTCCACTATCACATCCCTAACCCTAATTTTTCCTTTATGATTTTCAAAATTAATAACATTAAACCAATTATTTTTATCCTCTTTCACCTCCTAGCCTTAAACCCTAGTCATAACTCTAAGGGGATGCATGTCCAAGCTACCCGGGAGGAGATGGAAGGAGAGATCCGCCACAACTTCAGCAGAGGCTTGGGATATTGATGATGAAATCCAATGGGAGGCTACCTTCTACTGTGATCAGGAGAGTCGAAGGGGAGAATTAGAGAATCTGAAGATGGAGCGGGTGGCACAACGCAAGTTCCTACCAGTTTACTATAGACAGAGGGTGTAGACTCCTGCTTTAGACTTGGAGAGACTACATCATCGAGCTACCCAATTATCTTACAGGCAGGGTTCAACTCAGGATTTTACAGTCAAAATACACCCAGGAGCACACCTAACACGAGCCCGTCAGAGGAAACACTGATTTAGAGTGGAGAACATGTATGACCAATCCACATCCCGAAATTTGTCACAATTAGGGAGTGTTGCAAGTGCCACGTATTTGGATATGTTGAATCAGAATGCAAAATCAGGGGAGTGATCTGTTTCATTAAGCAGAGTGTTGTTGAAAATGTGGGCAATAACATAGTTGGTTCAAGAAGATAAAGACTTCAGAGAGGATTCATGACGTGCAACCAATGAAAAAGAGATCTTATCGATTTCAGTTGACCCTAGGGGAGGGATTCCAATTTAGGTAATCGTAGCTAGTCTAGAAGGTAGTTATTTAATTTAATGAGCGTTCTTGTAGAGTATGAAATTGTGGTGCCTCGAGCTACCGTTTTGCATGCGTTGAGAGGAACATCAACATGACTAACCTTGGATGTTCAAAAGTTTCATGAGTTTAAGGAGCAGACGTCAGAGACATGGCCACCACAGATAAGAGAAATACAGACTTGCTGCTATATTGCCATTGCCCAAACCTTACAGACTTACTCCCTGCTTGTTGTCGAGAACCCCAACCATTTCCTTACCAACAACCACATCTTTTCTCAGTTCAGATGCCGCAGCATCTACGTCTCTCCCGTCGCTTCTACGTCACTAATCTCCTCTCCCACTGGCCTGTTGTGCCGCTAACACCCTCAACCCACCTAACCTGCTCGTTCTCTCTCTTAATTGCTAACAACTTCCACCATAGTGCCTTCCAACCCTACCGAAATTGATGTCACCTCATCCAACAATAGCAACCGGCCCCTCAACTCCTTTCATCTGTTTTCCAATGCTGCCAAAACTCCCTTCTAACTTTCCCTTGTCCTCACAACCACATCCACTCCGACTTCTATCTGCGGCCAGCCTCCAGCTACCACCCTCGTCATCGCTTTAGTTAGAGTGTATTTTTATGTTATTTGCAGTTTATTTCATGTTTGGAAGAATTGTCGTTGTAGTCCTTTTGAATTTCAACAATTATATTTCTATTTTTATTGTAGATTGGGTTAACTCCGGTATCACCCTCCTTGTTTTATTTCATTAGGGTTAGTTTTTACTGATTTTAGATTGCTAGTTGTCGGCGTTTCTCCCTAGCTAGGGTTGTATCCGAGGACAGGTGGTGTATCCTGCTTCAAAGTGGTGGTTACTCTACAAATCCCTTCTAATACCCATTCCCAGCTCGCTGCCCTCTTCCCTACGCCCCACCTTTTCTGTTTCTGCTGCCCAAACCTTGCCGACACCCCTAACTGCTTGTCGCCAAGTTCTCCTACTTCGCTACATGCTGCCACTAGCCTTTTCTATGCCTACCTACTACCGCCAGACTCCCAGCACCCGACCTGCCGCCACCAATACTCCCTGCACCCCTGCCAGCTACTGCCAACCTCCCCTACACCCTCACCTACTTCCGACATTCCGACTTGCAGCTGCCTCCCCTTCCTGCAACCCTACATGTTGTTGCAATCTCTCAAACCACCCCCACAATTGTTGTCCAGCCAGGGTTCATCTCCTTCGCCCTTGCCTTAAATGCTCGTTTGTGCACAATTGTTGTCCAGCCAGGGTTCATCTCCTTCGCGCCTTAAATGCTCGTTTGTATTATTTTATTTCCAATTTTAAGAATCTTTGTCGTTATTCCTTTGACTTTTCCGCAATAATTCTCGCGTTCAATTTTTTTTGGGTTAAATCCGGTATTACCAACACAAAGAAAAACTGAAATCAGAGAGGAGTGGGAGAGAGGGAGAGAGGGAGAGGTGAAAGAATTCTCTTGGAATGAGAGAATGAATTAGATTGAATGAATACACCAGAGGAGGGTCTATTTATAGCCACACCCCAAAGTATTTGTGTAAACTGAAATTTACACAAATAACCTTCCAATACAATGCAAATAAAAGCGGCTATGCTAATTAGCTAATTGAATTAAAAGACTGATAAAAGGTTCCTTGTCTGCTCTTCCGCTGAACATCTTACCAAATCAATAATAATAATGACATTATTAGCCAGATTTCATCACTATTTGCAGATGTTTAATATTAAAGAAATTGGCCTTAGATTATGGTTGTCCCATTGCTTTATCCATGTTGAAATAAACATTGCAGTTCATACTTTTAATGTCAGGCTTATGTAGGAGGAGCAACATGTGTTTGAGAAGCGTTGATCTAATAACAGATTCACAACTATATGTTCATCGTCATGTTTCTAGTCTTATGTTTATTTCAATTGAGTAGTGATTACTATTTCACTGCTTATTGACTTTCTTGTCATTGTCTTATTAGAGTAACTTTGGATCCACAGAAGAATTCTTTTTGACAACAAATCCAGATGCTTCTGGCTCTGCACCCACACGGGCTCCACCATCGGTTCCTGTCCTCTTGTCTCCTCCAATTTTGACTAATTTAGCAATGTCAGAATCTTTTCATTCTCGACATGAGGAAGAGGAGTTAACCGTAGATGACATTGATGACTTTGAGGACGTGGATGAAGATATTGATAATGTGACGAGCTTAAGGCGAAAATCAAAAGATTTTAGTGACCTAATGTTGGGTTTGCCTTCTTTTTCAACTGGTAAATATAATTTTCATTTGAAATTTTTGTTTCATCGGATGTATTTGCTTTAGGTTTCTTTTACTCTTTCAAATGTAGAAATTGGCTATTGAAATGTATCTTGAATTTCGCCCCCTCATGTTTTATGAGTATTAGAGCGGTTTTAACCCATATACTTTGGCATGATAATTTATTTTTTACTTCCGTCGAATGGTTTAATTTTTTCCTTTGTTTACTTGAATGTTTTTCAGCTCCACAAGATTTTGTTGGTTCAAACTGAAGATGAAAATGGCATAGGGCCATTGTTCTTATATGTAACTTGGTTTCAGGTATAACGGATGATGATCTTCGTGAAAGTGCTTATGAAATTCTAGTAGCTTGTGCTGGTGCTGCAGGGTATATTTCCGAATATTAAACAATGCTTAATGACATGCACTGTTGCTCATGCATTCAAATTATTGAATTAATAATTCTTCAAAAACATGCTTATATTATGCGTGCTATTATTTTTTTGACAAAAGAACCAAAATGCCACTACCCGCTATTTGTGGTGCCCATTTTAGTTCTAAGCTGTGCAAACACCGGTTTATTTACTAAATTATTTTGAATTGGGACCAAAATAGCTTTGCCATCCAAAACTAACAATCATTGAAGTTAATTGCTTAAAAATGAGTTTATCTTAGAAACGTACAATTTCTTATTGATATTTTTTATTAAAACAATTTTTTATTGATTTATTCAAATTGTTTTTTAGAAAAAACAAAATATTAATTTTGTTTGTTCGATATAATAAATATATCTTTCAGGCAAATTTTTTTTGAGTATGTTATTATGATATTGAACTGAATAGAAGTATGTTTTATGGGGAATATGATTGTATCTCATACCTTACATTCAATGATACTATTAGAATGAATTGTCCTTGGAGCTTAGCAGAAAGTTAGAAAGTTTCATGTTTTTTACCCTCTATATGAGAATTGCTTCTAACTTTCTCTGTTTGTCGATAGTTTTTCTAAATGAGTTATTAGAATTAAGCTTTTTGAAGTAACTCACTAACTTGAACTAAGTATTTAGTATCATTTTGATTGCAAATTAGGTAAATTTTGCATGTAGGGTAATCATTATGGATTCTAATTTGGTCCTTGAATATTGAACTATTAATTTAACCACTTGTTGAAACCAAAGATCAAACACCTATGGAAAGCATTGGCAATTGGACTTGCAAATTGTGGTGATGAAAAGTTTTAGATGCAGGCGAATTATTAATTCTGTATTTCATGTAATGAAGATGAAGGTAATTTATGATAGAAAAACAAGTTCTTAAGCATATGTTTCCGGCAAATTGATACCAATTTTGACACTACCTACTAAGAAAGCATATAAACAGCTGAAACAAAAAAGAAAAAACATTCTTCAAAACAGAAACAGCTGAAACAAAAAAGAAAAAACATTCTTCAAGCACTCTATACCAATTGTGAAGATCATACATACAAAACAGGTATTTGTCTCTGTAGTTTTTTATCATTGCAAAAGCAATAAAACAAATAAGTAGCTGCATATTGCTGTCCAAAGGAATGTAAAAATATTGATGTTATAGTTGAATTTTCATCTCTTATGGCTTGTTCATTTGGCCCTTTTTTAGATTTATAGCTGTATACCTTTATAGATAGGAATATCTAATTAGATTCACCTATCAAACCCCAAAGTAACCTTTAAAGTAGAAAATATAGGGTCTTACAATTGGCCCTTTATTTGGAGATCCTTGTGTGCACATTTGCAATAATGGCTCGGATTCTGATTGATTCTCTATTTGAAGGTTAATTTAATCTCGTATATCATCTTTAAAAAATTAAAAAAAAAAGATATAAATGTTAAATTAAATCCATAGAGATCTTTTAATTATAATACTCACCATTTCTGTCCGAATAATTGAATCCTATTTGTCACTAAACAATTTCATTTGTGATACTTAACGTTCAGGTTTTTGGTCAATTTAATAGGTCTCACACATTGAATCTCATTTTCTTATGTCTTTTCTTACTACGAGTGCCGTTATTATTCCAATTCTGGTTATACTTACCGCAATGTAGTGACTCTACTTAACTTTCTTTGCTTGAAATTTACCTGTTGATCAACAGGAGCCTTTCTTCACATATTAGGTGGACTGCCATGAATTGATTTTTTTTAAGTTGGTGGCAATGATAGTAACTCTTATATTATGCTTTGGAATCATTATCAAGCGTAATGTTATATTTATAAGTTATCCTGTAAGTTTTCACAAAGTGGCGGGTCAACTTATTCTTGACAATCATATATAATCATATGCATTACATCACAAACATGTACACAAGATAATTTATTTAACTGACATGTTTACATGATTTAGACTCCAAATTCAAGAATAAACTCTTTTTGCTTATCCAAATTGAAGGTGAATGATATCGGAGTTAACACAAACCACGACACAAACGACAAATTTTATTGCTGATTTTCAAAGGAGTATATGGACGATGCTACAACAACAATAGCACCACACAAATATTGATAATGCAACTTGTAGAAATAATAAAGAAATAAATAAATAATAGAAGACTGAAACTGCCCTCTTGAGCAGGTGCGGTAGATCCGGTAAGTGGAAGAGGATTCGGGGAGGAGCTTGAAGGGAGGTGATTGGTCGGAGGATGTGAAGGCGGCCAACAGAAGGCGAGAGCGGCTCCGACAGAGGGTCGGCAGAATGGCGAGGGCTGGTGCGGAGGCATAGCAGTCGCAGGTGGACGCGACTGAACCTACAGCCGCACCCGCACAGGGGAGGAGTCGCGCGGTTGTCATGTGCATAAATGGGCTATTGGGATCTTAGGGCGGCTGGGGCGAGCAGGAGAGGTGAACAACGACTCGTCTGTGTGGAGGAAAGACGCTGGCAGGACCTACGGGCGATTGCGGTGACCAGGAGAATAAAGTAGTGGCTCGTCTGTGTGGAGGAAGGGCATTGGCAAAAGTTGCGAGCAACTGGGGTTGAGCAAAGAGGTGGGTGGTTAGTGGCCTTTCTGTGCGGGAGTGGGGCGCTGGTAGGGCCTGCTGTCGTCTGAGAAGAGTAGGCGAGATTGGCTCACCCGGGGGCGGCTATTGAAGGATGGAAGTGATGAAACATGGATAACACCACCTTAGACGAGGTATAGCTGATGCTTCGCTGCTGTTGGATATAGGCCTTAGCGTCGCACCTGAAATCAGGGATGGATAAAAAACTGTTTAACAGTCAACATACAACAGTTATAAATAAATTGGAAGTACAGACCAGGCTAGGTAAGTAGGTAAAATAGGCAAGGATTAAAGAAGAGTGAACGAGGAAGACATGAATTTGAATTGCAGCCCAAGTGGGAAGGGGAGAAATTAGGGGAGGAGCTAGAGAGGGGCGGAAGAACATGAGATGGAGAGGTGCGGAAAGAACATGAGATGGAGAGGTGCGGAAACTTCCACCCTAGATGGTTTTGGCCGGTAGCCTTCCTGCTGGACCGGTCATGCTTGCGCCGGCCTGAACCCTGAGTCTGCGTCAGTGAACTTGTGTTAATTTCAAAGATTAATATATTTTTGTCAAGGAAAACCAAAAATTATTCCCAACTCTTAGTTTTGCTTCATCCCTATTTATGTTCCATTGGATTTATTGTCGTCAATCCCCTGCACGTGCGTTGTTCTGATTGCACCTTTGAAAAATCTTACCAACCTATTGATTATCTGAAATAAGTAAATAAAAAAAAAAAACAAAGTATTGCATGGAAAAGATTGGGTTTGATTTGGTTTGCTCCTTGGTCGAGACCTCATGTAGCCGCTCTACGCCTCTAGCCTAATTCGTAGAGTTTTGGTCTGCATGGGTATGCTCTAGGTAATCTTTGTTCTAATTCTCTTAAACTTGTAGACTATCATTGTTCCGTAATGATTGTGCCTACAGACCATCATTCCCGACTTTTCCAGTCGACCTCACAACATGATATCTTTTGTGCTTCCTTCTTGCGTCTAGGGCCTAATCAGATAAAGTTGAGGTTCATTTTAAGATTGTAATAGCTAATAAAGATTTATTAGCAATAAAGCTAAAATGCCCAAAATACCCTAAATCTATGCCTCCATTGTCACATTTGCTAATTCCATAACATTGTTATGAAATTTAACAAACAATTTGGACTGAAACTATTTTGGTCATTATTTGAATTGTCTAGGGGGCTTAATCAGGCCTTATATAATACAGAGTGGGACTAAAATGGTCCCCTACAGTCAGAGGATTATTTTGGTTCTTTTCTCATGATTTTCTATTCTATTTCTGGCATTTGATATCTGCTTTTGTCTTCTGCTAATGCAGTGGTTTGATAGTGCCATATAATGAAAAAAAGAAAGAGTCAAAGAAAACCAGATTGATGAAGAAACTTGCTCGCAGTAAGATCGATAGTGTTGCATCCCATTCACAACAAGCTCATGGGTTGGTTGGTTTGCTGGAAGTTATGCGTGCTCAGCTTGAGGAATGTTGCTTTCCCGTTGCCCTCACTTTATTCATATATTTTCCAACTGAATACTTCTTGAATTCTTGGCTAATTTACCAGCAGCAGCTATCATTATCACAATCTTCATTCATTCAATATTTGAATTACCTTGAAATGTTTCATAGTATCGATGAAATTTAAAACCGACTGCCAACTAAATACCAACTATCCTTCATATTAAAGCTGGGGTTGTGCTATAAAGTTTTTTTTATATGAGCTTGATGTACTCAAGCTCAATATCTTATGGTCTCTTGTCAACACTCATGTGGCAATGATTGATTTTCCAACCACGATGTAAGATGACAAGGGAACATGAGATATTGAGCTGGAGTTTGATGCATAGAAAAAGCCAAGTCAGAAGCCATACTTCAAGTTGGCGCAGTTTCTTTAGGTAAATATCCTGTTTAAACTTGAATATTCTTAATTGTTGCAGATTATAATTGCTTTTCTGCTACATTAATTTTATTACTTTAAATGCCAAAATCAATTTCTGACATATTTTTTGGACAGATTTCGGAGTCAATGGACATCAGAACAAGGCAGGGGTTGCTTAATGCTCTTGTAGGCAAAGTTGGTAAAAGAATGGATAACTTTTTGATTCCAATGGAACTGCTGTGTTGTGTTTCGAGAACGGAATTCTCTGATATGAAAGCATATCTTCGCTGGCAAAAGCGACAGGTTGTACTATTGCCTTTTTTTAAAGCTATTGTGAGGGAAATTTTGCTTATACTGGTTTTATATTTCAGTTGAATATGTTAGAAGAAGGTCTCATAAATCATCCTGTGGTGGGATTTGGGGAATTAGGACGCAAAGTAAATGAACTACGAATTCTTCTTAGAAAGATTGAGGAGTCTGAGGTACATGAAATTGTTGACAAGCAGTGCTAGTTTTGCTCACCGTTTTTTCTTTCTTTTCCTGTTTACTGCCCATTATAAGCTTTTTAGTAATAATGATGCAGCATGCTACATTCTACAAATTTTTTTTCCTTTTACATTCTACAATTTATGTTTATACTTTTAATGTGTTTTCTAGTCTCTTCCACCGTCAGCTGCTGAAATTCAACGCATAGAATTCCTTAGGTCATTAAGAGACATATCCACCGCACTTGCAGAGAGGCCTGCTCGTGGTGATTTAGTTGGCGAAGTCTGCCACTGGGCGGATGGCTATCCGCTTAATGTCAAAATTTATGAGAAAATGCTCTGCAGTGTTTTTGATGTCCTAGATGAAGGAAAGTTTACAGAGGTTATATATCCTTATTTTAAATTTTTATCACAAATGTACTAAGTTTCTGAATTAGGATTAGCTGCGGTCATGCATTTTCTGCAATTTTGACCTATTGCTTTTTAAAAATGCTTTGCAATTTCAGGAAGTTGAAGAAATCCTCGAGTTTCTGAGGTCAACTTGGCGTATTTTAGGGATTACAGAGTCCATTCATAACACATGCTATGCATGGGTATTATTTCGGCAGGTAAATGAAGTTTTAGCATTGGTTGTTATTACAAAGATAAGCTTTGCTTAGATCATCTGTTCCCGACAATACATCTGCCACCTTAAAAATAACAATTCTAGTCACTATTAGATTCTTATATTGATACTCATTAGAACAAAATCAACTAGCGTCTGTGCGAGAGTTATGTGTTGCTTTATAGAATTAAATTTAGACTATTATTCAGTTTCCAAAGCTCACCTGGTGCAGTTGTAGTTTTTTTTGCTTATTTTCTTTTTTTTAAGCTAATATGTAGGTAATTCTTTTCTGGATGGAACCATGGGCTGGCAATTATGCACAAATTATAACCTTGCTTAATAATGGCCTCAGATTGACCTAAATCAAGCCAGCTAAAAGAATTTGACAGAACTTTTCTCGCTCTCTTTATGTGAGTGTATGTTATATTATGTTATGCTATATTATATTTTATGTTGAACTCTAAATCCGCGCGCTTACTTTGGATATATTTTAGCAAGGTTAATACTCTCAAGATTCAAATTAGATGGTAAGATAAAGAATTCTTTAAACATTATGTCCTTATAGATGACTATATTTCTAATTTGAGGCTTCCCCTATAGCATAAGCCCTCATGATTAATTACATATTAATCATGAGAGAAAATAATTCATTAAGGTTATTTTATAGGCTCTATGATAGTTCATTGTGAAAGCTTCACATTTGCATTGATCGATAACTATTTGAATTGAGGAGGAAAAATAATGGTTGGGAAATGATCAAAATTTGACCAGATTCTATAGTTTCATCAGTCTGTTCATGGACCTTAGTTTACTTAGAGATGGTGCTTGACTAATTTGATCGAATAGCCCTTATTAGCAACTACGAATTTTGTCATCTATGACAATTCTTAAGGCCTCTGTTAAGCTCGTTTCAGAGGTCGAGTACAAGATTAAGTATCACGAACTGCTAAGTTGAAAATAATTAAACTTGTGAATTTTAATTCCCAGAATTCTTACAATATTGTGCTGTATTGAAATGTCAAACATATGCATCCAAATGTTTCATTATAGTGGTATACATAAGATTCATAGATTTAAAAGAGTTTTTCCTACAAATGATATATGATGCAAAATACATTAAAGATAAACTTAACACAACAGAGTAGCACATAATAAAAAATTATTAAAAAAATTGATTATTTTCAGTGAATTTTGTGTCCTGCAGCTTATTTTGAAATATATATATATAAAAGTTTTGATCATTATTGAACGTTCTTATATATATATATATATATATTTAAAAGAACTCAAGGGCTAATATATTTATATGTATAGATTGGATGACGGCCAAAATAATGACACCCTAACCACCCGACATACAACACACACTAAAGTCCCAAAAAGAAAAATACATGTATACCCAAAAAGCAAGATTACAACGTAGACATCTAAGCTTACGCCAAATTTCTGCTAAACACTCGCAGAATCAGGTAGCTTGAGAACGACCCAATTTAGCCTTACCTCTGCCTCTGGTTCTAGAAAGCAAGTTAGCTAACAAGTGGTTAAGTCTGCTGCCATTACCCGAAATAACTAATGTATCATCCATTAAGTTCCTGAGTTCTAGTAGGCCTCCATTCTTCTTCTTCTTCCTGGATGTGTAAACTTTCCATTCCTCATCCGAAGGCTGACTCATCTGATCAGTGTGTTGGTTGAAAGATTGCTGGGCATGTATAGTTGTTCCACATCATGAGCCTCTTGCGTCTGACTAACAGTAACAACTTGTTCGACCTGATAAGGTGGTAGAGTCGTAGTAGAAAGATTGCCAACCGTTGCATAAATGATAGGTTGTAGGGTAGGTGATGTATTAAATGTCTCCTTTGCACCCGAGACTTCCTCAAGATGAGGAGGGTCAAAACCCTCCTGATGATCAGACCGAACATTTTCCTGTGTTAGTAAAGTTCCTTCAGCATTGTTTTCAAAGAGGTTTGAAGCTGTCCGTTGCGTAGCTAGACCATCCGACAACACGTCATTCACAGAAACATAAACAATATTGTCAGGGGGGGTCTCCGGTAGTAACGGGGTTACAGGTGGTAATGACAAGAGAAATGATATTTAAAGAAGGGAGAGTGGGAAGGAGAGCATATGGATTTTCTACCAAAGTTTCAATAGCCAGTGGGTTGCACTCAGAGGTTGAGGAGGGGCAGGGGGCCCAGTAACATTTTTGCTCCGAGGTTTTAAATGAGGATGCAAATGGTGACATTGAGAGTGAGAGTGTCCAAACACACGACAGTGGGTGCAGTAAAATGGGGATTGTTCGAGTTCGACCCGCTATCAAAAACTTTAGTGCTATGAGTCAATCCAGATCTCACCCAGAAAAGGTAAAGTAATGTCTCGTTCAATCAAAACTCTGGATTCAGAAGGCCGACTCAGATTAACTGTAGGAATATCAGATTTGAGGGGTTTACTGTAAACCATAGCTAAGGAGTAGAGGAACTCGTGATTGAAGAGATGAAACTTCAGACCTGGGAAGTGCAGTCATACAAGAATGGTGAGAGGTTTACTGAGAGGATCAAAATCGACCATCCATTTTAAAACTTTCATCACACGGTTATCGATTTGAATGAGTCTTCTCGTAAACAAATGAGCATGTTCTTCATCATCTGATAATTAGATAAGAACATTCCTACCGTCCAGTTTACCAATCTTTCATTCTCCTTTCAGACGCATTTGCTCAAACTCTTTTCGAATTATCTCGAGTTTAGGGTTTTCATAGAGGAACTTACCAACTAAAACCAACTGTTAGGATGAAGCTAAGGTAGAGATCTCGACGTCAGAGAGAGATTGCAGGCTTACCATTTTTACGGGATGCTTTTTTAAGAAATTCGGTGTCAACGCCCAACGCTAAACTGTCGTGGTATCACTGCAGGAACATACACGAAATATGAGCGCAAGTGGGGTTGTCTCCAACAAGTGCGACGGCCTAGGAACGTCCCAAGGCCATCACCACTCGCAAGGAATGGAGCACAGCAGATGACTCAGTTGCCTGAAATCGCCATTCAATTAGCAGACGAAGGACGAGCCAGCACAACGAGAAAGAAGCACGACGAAGCAGGCAGTCGAGGTGCGATCCCCTTCGTCGACGAAGCACGAAGAAAACACGATGAAGGACGAAGCAAGAGTTAACGGAGCAGATGCCAGCATTTGCCATGGGGCGAAACCCTAGTAGAGCGAAACAAACGACTCAACATACTTGTATATATATTGCACATGCTTTTATATATATGTGTGTGTGTGTGTGTCTATATATATATATATATATTAGAAAGCCTAAATGAGAATATATTAATAAAAGGAAGGGTACATATAGGTTGGGTGAAAGAGACCAAATTTGGCACCCTAACCACCCGACATACAACACACACGTAGGAGATACATGCATACCCAAAAAAAGATTAAAATGTAGACATAGAAATTTGTACGCCCAAAGTTTGCCAACACTCGTAGGTTCAGTTTGCTTTCGAATGATCCAATTTTGCCTTGCCTCTGCCTCTGGTTTTAGGACGAGAGCCAGCTAACAAATTGTTAAGTTTGCTGCCATTACCCGAAATAATCAATGTATCATCCATTAAGTTTGGTAGTAGGCCTCCAGTCTTCTTCTTCTTCCTAGATTTAAAAACTCTTCTTCCTAGATTTATAAATCTGTCATTCTTCATCCGAAGATTTACTCATCTGATCAGTGGATTGGTCCAAATATTGTCAGACAAGTGTAGGTTGTTGCACATTATGAGCCCCATGTGCTTGATAACAGTAACTTGCTCGATCTGATGAGACGGTAGAAATGCAGTAGAAATATTGCAATCCGTTGCATCAATAATATGTTTTAGGGAAGCTGAAGTTTAAAATGTCTCCCCTGCCCCTACGAAAAGCGGTTCCATAGGCAAGGAACCTACATCATGAGCATTGTGTGGAAACTGAATGGTTGACATATTACTCGTGAGAATAGTGACATTTTCAAGAGTATCCTTCCGATGATTAATAATGCCAATAACTTGGAGCAGATCAGGAGGAGGTGAAATCACTACCTTTGGCTGAGCACTTTGCTTCTTTGGTCTTAGATGGGGGTGCAGGTGGTGATATTGAGAAATGATGGGACCGAACATATGACAATTCAAGCAATACGAAGAGAAAGACTCAATCACAACTCTTTGCCAATATCCACGATGTTGTGTGTCTAACCAAATTTCCTCAGAAACGATTGAAGTGATGTCTCTTTCAACAAGTATTCTGACTTCAGAGGGAGGAAAAAAATTAAAAGTAAGAATGTCCGTTTTGAGCGGCTTACCATAGACTGAGGCAATAAAGTACAATACTTCTTGAGTAAAATAATAAAATTTCAGGTCAGGAAAATGAATCCAAACCGAAATGATTGGTAGTTCCGTCTATGGGTCAAAATCCACCGACCATTTTAAAATCTTCATTGCTGTGTTATAAATCCAGATTAATCTTTTGGCAAGTAAACATGTGTAATTCTTTTCATTATTAAGTTGAATAAGGATGTGTCTTCCATCTAAAAGTTCAATTTTTCACTTCCCAACAAAGTGCATAAGCTCAAATTCCTTACGAATGAGCTCCATTTTGGGATGACCATAAAGGAATTTCTCGACCAAATTCAGGCGACAAGAAAAAACGAGCTGATTACATCCTGCTTCCGTAAAAAAGATGGTTGGCTTTCCATTCTTCCTGCAAGGTTTCTTGATGTCCTTGACCAACGCAAATGAGGGAGGGAAGGAGCACGATTTAGGAGTACCTGAGACATCGATACTCGCAAGGGCAACAACATATGTTAGGTCCAAAGTCATCACGGAGCCGTGACGTTTGGAACAATGAAGTTGCAGTCAAAGAAAACCGAAGCCGACAAATAAGGCAGCAGAATCAGTGGAATCCCCTTCTGCTTCGAGCAAGGGACGAAAGGCAAAAACGCCAGATGAGGCGCAAACCTTTCCTCTTCGAGCACTGGGAAGGACG